GCCCATGCCAGTCGAGGTGAAATCATTATGAGGTACTTACATGGCTCGCCCACGATATCACTCCAGACAAACGCCAGAAGACTCCAGATCTCTGGAGATTGCCTCCGAGATCGAACCACGATTGCTGCCACTCTCCCAGTTACGTCCCGCAGAACCATGTTCACCTACAGATTGCCGCCGAGATCGAACCATGATGTGGCGACGCGTAGCTAGTACGTGATACCAGGTTTAACAGTTTAACCTGTTCAACTTAGCCGAGACCAAGATTAAACCAAGATCATCTTAAGACAAAACCATGCTGGATACGTACTCACAAAACATGGTCAACTTTGCCGAGACCAAGGTCAATCGTCCATAATGCAAATACTTTATTAGCTCCACTTAAGTTGTAGGCGGTCAAACCGACTCAAATATTAAGTTCTATGTAACTTAAGTTCTGCTAGTACAGCAGTATATAATTCCCTGTATACATTGGAACTTAAGTTGTCAGTGCACATAAACTTAAGATGTTCAAAGGAGTTGAGATTTGAAAGTTCATACAATTATCATATAACAACTTGAGTCTGAACGGAACTTAAGCTCCCGGGGACTCAAGTTCTACCTTGGCTTCAGTTCTGTGCATGAAATTGAGTTCTGAAAAAACTCAAGTTCTGTCCTTGGACTTCAGTCTGGCGGCTGGCATGACTCAGGTATGTCATCAGTTCCGTGCCACAGGTCAAGATAAATAAAACCATACCTGTTCGTCAACGTCCCCTTTCCAGGTTCTCAGATGCAGTTGAGTCTGCTGAAATTAATCGGTTGGAACTCCTGAAATGGAGGCATGGACTACGTTCGACGCTTGCCACCGACTTGCCACCGACCAAATTTTGAAGAGGTGTTTGAACTTGAAGTGGTGTTAATGTACATAGGCCACGGCGCCGCGACAAAGATTCAGCAGGTATGATGGCAGCAGTGGTTGGAGAGGAGGAGGAATGAGGATGAGGTGGTTGTCCGGAGAGGGTTGCTTGTTTGTTTACGATGTTTACGAATTGAAACACACCTGTGTCTAATACAAGACTGAGGTGCGACCGAGGCCGACCACGGCGGTTCATAGGTAGAAGAATAAATAAAAAGTCCGTCTTATACCAGCGAGTCTAACTGTCCAGAATCAGGTGACCGAATTACCTAAGCTATCCACAAAAATCCACTGAAAATCGACAGGCGAGCGCAGGGGGGGCATCACTGGCGTCAAAGGTGCTTGAGGCGATGTCGAGGAGTAAGAGAATGTATGTGAGGTCGCTGTGGAATTGGCACGCAGATCTGGGAGCAGTAAGAGGCTGGATGCGCGGGCGGGGGTGTGGATGACGGCGGGTGAGGTGTCAAGGAGTGCGGCGCGTAGCTCGTGTAGTTGGATATAGAGCTTTTCGAGGGACTCTTCTGCGGCTATGAGATGATCTGGGGGCACTGGCCGCGGTGCTTTTCGGGCCAGGCGGAAACGCGCGCAAGCGACTCGCGATGTGAGCGCGGGCAAGCGGCTGTGAAAGGCCTGGAAGCGGACGGCGCGGGCATTGAAACATGGGATGGGAGGGCCGGGGGCTCTTTTTCGAGGCTGAAATGGTGCGATGGTTGGATGGTGGGATGGTGGATTGTGGGTGGGTGTCATTGTGGTTGATCCGAAACCTCGTCTGCAGCTGCTAGACGGTACTGGACAATGAGCTGTCGACGACGCCGAGTGCCCGAGGTTCGACGAAGCCGGAACGGCAACCACTCACCGGGGATGGTGGTGGTAGCGGTTGTTGTTGTTGTTTGTCGTGGTGTCGGCAATCCAACTGATTGATTGATTTATTGATGGTATTTTGCTATTGTCCGACTTCGACTCGACTTCATCCTTCGCCACCACCATGCCACTGGACTCATCAGTAAAACTGCACTTTCGTCTTTGGCGTCTTTGACGTCTTTGACAAGACGTGAAAGACGTGAAAGACGAAATTTAGCCCAAGACCTCGAGTCTTTCCAAAGTAGGTTCAATTGTCTTTGACAGACGTGCGCATCTTGTCCAAGACTCTAAAGATCGGGTTGCTCTTTTTCAAGTTCCACTTCAAGATACTAAAAGAGGCATCAAAGATGAACGCAAAGAGCAATTATTCCACGATGTACTCTAGAACATGACGGTCTACTAAACATATCAAGTCGGCACACGGCTCAGCCGTGTGCGCTCCTCCCCGTCCTCGCGCGACGCGAATGCACAGTGCATGGCATCGATCAGGAACAGGCCGTTGGAAGGGACTGACGACACACCCGCGCTGCACTCGCCGAGTGCATCGCGCCCAGGGCGATGTCCCGCACGTAACGCCGCCGCCGCCGCTCGCACCGTTGAAAGGCAGGGGGGAGGGCGCTGTGGAGTAACAGTCTAAGGGCGTAAGTCGTAGTTTCCCGTATTTGATGAGCACTCACCTGGTCCGCGGCAAGTACTCGTTTGCACATAACCCCACAGCGAACGCGACACCCGCGCTGTAGGAACGTGCGTGGTCAGGAGACCGACATTGTGGGGGGAACTGTAACTAGGAACGAAAGCTTAGTAAATATATCAATTAACGAAGGGAGGACCTCACCGCCTCGGTCGACTACAACAAAGCTTGAGGACGAGTTTGGCAAAGCGAAGCTTGAAGCGGGTACAGGTGAGCAGAGGAAGACTGATTGAGCGACCAGAGATATGACAACGGAAAGCGTGTCACTGTGAGGCCGGCTTGGGGCGGCGACTTGAGGCGGTGTGGAACAGCCGCTTGATACAGGCTTGACAGGGCTTGAGGACGCTTGAAGAGTGCGATTGGAATTGAGGCCGACTTGAGGGAGGGACTGGGGACAAGTTTGCGCTTGAGACTGGCTTGAGGACTGGAAGATGTTTTGAGAACCTTGAGAGCTTGAAGACGGCGACGAGACACGAGGCCAGCTTGAGGCGGGTAGTGGCTTGCGATAAAAGGAGAAGCAATTCTTGAAGCGCAGGGGTTAGGAGGGGCAAGCGCGAGGACAGGCGACGCGGGAAGTGGGAAGAGGAAGAGAAGGCGACCTGTCAACCACCACTTTGATGGAAATCATGATGCGCACGGACGCAGAGCGGAGTTTGAAATGACTTAACGGAGCAAATGATGTTCGGGGTCTTCATGACTTACGCGTCCACACTTGCTGCTCAGACTTCACAAGTCCTTCCGTGCCCGATCCGATTCGAGTACAAGGCTCCACCATGCACTCCGACGCCGAGTCGGAATCAAATCTAATTAGCATGGGCCCGCAGTCCAGTTGACGCTTCAAGTCGAGGTCTAGCGACACAAGCACACCCGGGCAGGTTGAATAAAGTCACCGCATCCTTGTGGTCGATAGATTCTCATTGTATAATTTAATAACTGTATTTCTTAACCCTGGAATAAGCACTTGCATCAAAGATGTAAGATGTGAATCAAAGATTTAAGACGGCGAAAGATGGCTCCTCCAAGACATAAGATGCCTGACTCAAGACCAAGATCTCGAAAGATGCACCTGAAAGACTTAAGATGCCAAAGACGAAACTGCAGTTTTACTGATGCTCTGTCACCGGCAACAACTGTCAACCTCCGACCCTCTTCTTCTGAACTCTTTCCTCAAGAACACCCACATGTGGATCCGCCGCCCAACCGCCTCCAAGTTATCGCAAACCGAATGTGCCAATAGCCAACGACCTGGGACTTACTCTTCTGTCGACTCTGGTGAGCTCTTGCCAGGTTCTTTTTTAGATCAGGGCTCATTGGGATCTGAGGGACACTTATCGAGCTGGCAGCCGCCAAGCTCGATGGCATCATGCCACTTGGGTCAATGTTCATTTGGTGTGTACATCGGACCATCACATTTCTCTTGTGGTACTCACTGCAACCTTTGGCCTTTGTCTCACATGCTGCAGTCACCACCGGAACATCCATTTCACATCCCACTGCATCTGGTGTGTCCATTCTTGTCCACACGCTCCGGTCTCAGACTCAATGATCGTACAGACCCCCAAACATGTCCACACGCGTGGAAACCCAGTTGGTGGCATGCTCGTGCTGCTCGTCGTTGTACTAGCCACAGTGATATTTGGGTGTAACTTAAGTTTTCAATTCATTGTGTTCACTGACAGTCACACATCTGACTTAAGTGCTTGGTAGAACTTGAGTAGTGGACAGGACTTAAGTGGTCGGGGAGGACTTCAGTTAATAGATGAGACTTAAGCTGCTCCGTCGCTGAGGGGCGCATACGGCCGCGCTGGCGCGCCTGGGGGAGAACTTAAGTTCCGAAGGACTTGAGTCCTGAAGCGGTTCGGACCACCTAGAACTTAAGTGGAGCTGCTTCTATTTCATCATAATGCTAGCCGACCAAGCGGGCGGGCATTCTTATTATTTGTTGGATAAAAATAGTTGGCTCTCTCCTCTAGGCGGGCGCGGGGAGTCGAACTCCGTCTAGCTGCTTACAAAGTTCACCGGCGAAGTGAAGGCAGCGGTGCGCCGTGCACCACGTCCGCTTATTCCAATATTTCTAACCTCATCTCATCCAGCCTTGACTGGACGTCGTGAGGCATTCCACGCAAAAAAGAGGCGCCAGGACAGGACAGGACAGGCGGACGCGGAGAGTCGAGCCCCGTCCAACTGCTTGCACAGAGATAGGATCTAATTCCTTCGACTTCCAGAACAGGCTTGGCTGTCTCCGGACTGGTCAAAAAAAAAAAAAAAAGATTACACCGAATGTTGCCAAGCAGGAGGTGTGTTTAACTTGAAGAGACTTGAAGGCATGACGACCCTCTGGCCTCTGGGACACGCGAAAAAAGTTCTTAAAGCCGATATAGCATCCCCGACGCGGGGAGTCGAACCCCAGGTGGCTGCTTACAAGGTCGCCGAAGAAGTGAAGGCACCGGTGCGCTGTGCACCACGTCTGCTTTCTTTCCTCTATTCCTGTCCTCTTTTATACTCGCTTCGAGTGGCTCTCCAGAACAAAAAAAAAATCCAACTCAGATTCCATGCGAACGCGGGGAGTCGAGCCCCGTCTTACTCCTTACAACTCTGCCAATGTCTTGACTGCAATAGAAGGCAGCGGTGCACCGTGCACCACGTCCGCTGTCGTCCTCCATTCCATCTCTCCATTTATGTAGCTTGTTGGCAGCCTTTGAGTGAAAATTGTGTGGGAGAAGCCGACAAGAGCCGGACGCGGGGAGTCTCGAGTTGTTAACCAGAACAGAATGGAGAGGTGTACCGTCAACCACGTCCGCTTATTCCCTCAAGAAAAAATGCACCTTACCAATTCACCAGGCGGACGCGATGAGTCGAACCCCGTCTGACTACTTTCAAATTCAAAGCGACTGAGCTATCAAAGGGAAGGCAGCGGTGGGCCGTGCACCACGTCCGCTTACTCCCATCATCGCATCTCTCCAGGCAGTTGGGGCCTTAGAGGAAAAAAAATACTTGACACAGATTCAAGAATTGCAGACGCAGGGAGTCGAACTCCGTCTAACTGCTTGCACTTGCAACTTCTTTCACTCAGGCTCCTGAAAGAATGCAGTGGTGCGCCGTGCACCACGTCCGCCTCCTCCCTCCATTCCTAGCTTCGATACATTCAGCCTTTGCAGCATCTTTCTCAGCCTACTTGGGGAAAAAACACAAGATTCCGATGAATGCGGACACAGGGAGTCGAACCCGTTCAACTGCTTACAATTCAATCTATCTATGTTCACAGCAGGTAGCCATGCGTCGTGCACTACGTCCGCTTTTCCCTGTATTCCTTGCTAACCACTCTCATGCCATTATTCCAGGCACTTCCATAAAAAGAAATGTGCGAACAAGAGGGATAGATGGACGCGGGGAGTCGAAGCCCGTTCAACTGCTTACACCTAAGTGCTTTCCCTGTTTTTAGAAGGAAGTGATGCGCCGTGCACCACGTCCGCTTCCTTCCTCTATTCCGCCTCTCGATATATACAGCTTGTTGGCAGCCCTTGAGCGAAAAAACCGTTGAATGCGATGGGGAGGCGGCTGCGGGGAGTTGAACCCCGTTCAACTGCTTGCAATCTACAACAAATGCGAAGATCAGGCAGCAGTGCACCGTGCACTACGTCCGCGTTTCCCTGTACATATTCCTAACCACTATCATGTCAAGTCTTTCCGGCACTTCCATTAAGAAATCCGCAGCAAAGAAGCGCAGGCGGACGTGGGTAGTCGAACCCCGTCTAACTGGTTGCAACTCCATCTTCCCTTCTCAACAGAATGCAGTGCACCACGTCCGCTTTCTTCCTCTATATCTCACTTCAATATACTTTAATATATCCAGGCAACTAGAAGCCTTCGAGTGAAAAAAGCTTGGGTCGCCTTATGCGGACGCGGGGAATCGAACCCAAATCTAGGCTCGAATCCAGCCTGTCTATGAAAGCAAGCTTGTCGATAGACAGGCTGGTCGATCTGAGTTTGAAATCTCGATTCAAATTTTTTATCCAACAAAGGTTATTCCGGTCCGGCTTCCGTGCGGGTACAAACAACGACAACATTCACCAAGATCGCCGCCGCGGGCTCAAACCTAGAGCATTTGACTTCGGATACAGCGGAATGAGACTGTGAAATGTGTATGCATAGCTGCGCCTTTTATTTGAATTTTTTGGTCAGGTACAGACAATCCGGGAATAACCTTTTTTGGTAACTTATTTAAATTGCAAATTCAAACTCAGATCGACTGGTCTGTCCATCGACAGGCTTGCCTTCATAGACAGACACAGTTACTGGTCTAACCCAAATCGAACCTGTCTAACTGCCTTCATTCTATAACAAGGAAATACAATGCGGTTGTGCGGTACACCGCACCCGCTTACTCCGATAATTGTTAACCTGCAAATTAGTCTCTCATAGATAGACGCTACAAATGAAGGAGCTCGTACCTCGTATGTTTGTAGTCTGTTGATTGCCTTGATCAATTGGGTGGTGACCCTTATTATATAATCATCAGAGTGGGCACGTCCTGTCACACCTGTCACATCAGTGAACGACGCGTCTTTCTCCCGTTCGACAAGAAGACATCGTCCAAAACGCACGTAGAACAGCTTGGGCTGTCCACAGGAAGACATCATGGGCTTGAAACAATTAAATTTGACCATTTGTTGTGTTCTCACCATGTTTTTTGAGTATTTCCCCCCAAGTCTCCCACCGCTTTCGCGCCTGCATGGTCTTTGCCGAGAAGTGCTACATAAGAGAGACTCGTACATAGTAGGCTATACAGAGCATCTGAATTTACGAGAACTGTTCAGTCACCCTCGGCAGAGCAACGAATATGTCGATTATCACAGCACTTGGACCCTTACATAAACCGATAGTCGAAACAAAATATTCACCTCTCCAGCTACAACATCTTTGTGAGTGGGCTAAAGTGGCCAATATGCTTGGTGGATACCATTTGATGTTCCTCCAACTTTTGAAGGATGATGTTATAGGCGAGCAAAAAGTTTGGGGCTTGCGACCAAATAAGAATGAGTTACGTACTACCTAGTCGGTCCCACCTCCACTGGTTCCGCGCATCTGCCGTCCCCGCGGTTCCAGACCTCTTCTTTCCGGAAGTTTCATACGCGGAGTATGCCGTGAATGTGCTGACTCAGTGAGTCATCGATGTGCGGCTGCCACAGCGGCACTCAAAGCGCTCCCGAGATGTGCAGGAACGATTCCGGGGAGAGTGGGCTCCCGATACGCCCCGCGAGATTGAGCTGGCGGAAACTGGGGGAGACAGTGTGCACCTTTCGTCACCCAGCGGGGCTGTAGCAGTTTTCAAACCTCCAAATATCGAGACCAACTATTACGTTTGATTAATTGAGTCCGTGAAGTATGTGGTTGCGTTGGATTTGATTGCTATTCTTGGATACCAAGAGAGCGCACGGTCATCGAAACTCCACTGCTTGTTCTTGAACTAAGTCTGGCCATCTTATGGGTCTTCCATCTCCCCATCAGAATCAAACTGTCCGGTCATCAAGATGCCTGGCATCTCGGATCGAGCTGTCTAGGCAAGCAAGGTTGTCAGTAGACTTCCATGGACAGACCAGTCACTTTGGCAGTCACTACAGCGCAACTCGGAGTACTCACAGGGCCCAAAGAACGGATAGATGACATCACATATAAGAGTCAATTATTCCAAGCGAATTTTTTGGCGCACTCAATACCCGAACGTTTCGCTGGGTACCACCAACATTCCAGATGGATGACCAATTCAGATCATGTTTCATCACAGAAAAAGCCTTCACGTGTATTCACAGCTTTGGTCGATTATATTTGTGGGGGACGAACTCCAGCAGATGAACTACTAGTATTTGGGGGTGGACTATCGCCGTACGGCATCTTCAAGCTGAATCACTGCCTTCGGGTATCTCTGGCAAGCCACCAGTGCTTAACTGTGCAATGTTGAACTACGTGGAATAATTTGCGAACAACGATCATCGGGCGTCTAACCCTTGCTTAATCTCTCTGTGACAATACAACCAATCTTGGAGGTGCGCATGCGGCGGTTTGTCCCTGGAGCTCAACTATAGTGCCCGCCGAAAACCATTGTGGAAACGTTGACATGTTCGGGTTCCCGCGCCACAGACGTCTGTCACGGGTGTAGTTGGCAGATTTGAACATCTGGCGAGCTCGAAGCTCAGCAGAATGTTCCACCTGGGATTCGCTTTACTCCTGCATTATCATTTTTTTAAACTCAAATCGAGAAGTCGGAGCAGGATTTCCTAGGGGCGCCCCTCAGCTTCCACTATTTATCTGGTCCCTGCACAGTAGCATGGTCCTCCTGACGGGCACGCCCGGGTGCAACGCCTGCAAATAGTCAGCCCACATCCGCAGTCTTACAAAGCATTACACTTGCCCACAATACATGTCCGAGGCATCGTTCAGGCCGAAGTTGGCGAAGTATTGCTGATAGTTGTAAGTGTCTGCTGTCGCGAGAGGTTGTTGGTGAGACGAATCTGCAGTCGGGTCGTGCGCCAGCGGGTTTTGCATGCCCATGAAGTTAACCGAATTAAACTGGGAGTCGTCCTGTGGTGGGTAATAAAAAGTGTGCCCCAAGTGCGATGGGATCACTTCTTGAGGGGTGTAATTCCATGCGGGCGCCATGTATGATGTAGGCGGGGGTGGGTCGTAGTCCGCTGTTTCCTGGCCGTGGGATGTAGATTCCGATCTGGCCTGCTGTTCAGGAACCGGCAGATAGTCGCATAATAGGCCCTTCTTGATGCACCGCTTGCACGGCTGGCCTTCCCGAGGTGTAAAACACTAATGCACAGGTCACCAGGAACGTCGAAGCCGACAGTTGATTTAGATGCTGACCTTGATCTTTCTTTTGCGACAATGCACACAGGCTATGTACGCTCGTTTGGGGTGCCAGACCACTGGCGTTGTTGAATAGGGTGGGGGGTGGGCGGACATGTCGTAGCAGTGGACCCCTGGCAGAGTCGAAAAGCCGCAACGGATTTATATATGAAAGCCACGAACTGCGTCCAGGAGCTATGTTGGAAACCGCGCTGTGTCTGTTCTGGTATATCAAATTGATCGCCTAGGCCTTCAAAATAAATACAATTCCGGAGTTATGATGGTTCCCCATGGTTGAAGGTTTGTCTATCTTCATTTTTGCGACGTTTCCATAACGCTCAAAGCTTTCAAAATGTCTGCACCAAAGGATGCCGACGTCCGAGGATTGTGGTTGGTCTCTGACGTGTTTCTACCTTATCTCCATTCACCCTCAGCTGCAGCTTGCACGGAAATTTGCACCTCTATATCGAAATATCGGATACTTTGGGGTCTCGTCGACGTCGGATATATCATAAAACAGCTTCCACCATGACTCATCATTACTATCCAGTCGCACATGCCCCATCTTTTTCACGCCAACCGTAATTAATCTGGCGTGGTTGCCTGGCCGGTCCTGACGAAATTTCTATATCGTCGCACTGTATGCACAACATTGGTAGAGACTTGATGTGTTTCCCGGCCGGCAAAGCGGCTTGGATGCTTGCGCCGAGGACTCTGATTTAGGATCGGTGCCACGTTCCGAGATGTTTCCGAAGGGTGATATACATGGCATAATTGCGGGTTGCATGGCACGGGTGCGCTTAATGAAACCTCTTCTTCTTAAGTGCTTCTCAGACAAAAATACTTGAACTTGAACTGCAATCGCACTGCGTGACTCTGTGCCAAGGCAACGGCAACCGTCATGATGTGGCTGAAGATCGGGAAGAAGCAGTTTGAAGTAGCTAATTGGAATAGCAAGCGTTCTCGTGCCTGCGGCACGCGGCCAGCTATAAAGACTCCGCCTGAGTCGGTAAATCAGTTCATGGCTGTGTAATGAAATCTTGTCATGAACGTCTTGTCCTCGTATATAGAAATGAACGCTTCCCTCGTCTAGTTGGCGGTTGTAGTGGGGGATTTGGACTGAGGTATATTTAGAGGGCAGGAAAAAATAGTGAATGGAGGGTCTTTTACATAATTTGTATATGCTAAACCAATCGGAAGAAATAACTTGCCAAAATTGATCAATTCTATCCCGTCGTGCGCTTCGCGTACGTCATATACCCTGGATACTGTTCCAACATGGAAAATTTCACCGTCTCCAGCTGCGGACACGCCAGGGCCAGGCGTCGGGGGAGAGAACCCCGCCTGGGTAAGCAGCGGAGTGGTTCGACATCATTCCCGCTATGAATATATGTGTCAGGCAGGAGACGAACTGCAGAAATCCATTCATGAGCAGAGTGAGGTAGGCGTCTTCATGAGTATTGACGCACCATCTCGATCGGTCCGTAGAAGAAATATGGGTTGTTGGCGATGGAATGCTCGAGCCGGCAGAGCCGATGGTCGAATATAACGCGCAGATTATCGCTCGGGTCTGGATTCGCCGCGAGTATGTCTAGGAACTCCTGCAATACTACCGGTTGAAGACTGTAATTGTCTCCACTGCGCTGGCATAAGTAGGTGGTATCAAAGGGTGATACCAGAATGCACCATTCATACAGGTCACACCGCATTGGCGACGAGTCGTACCGGAAAGACCTAGAGGTGTGCCTGTCCCATGGAACTATAAGATTGCAGCGGAACGAGGACATGGCCACAAACCCAATATTCCTCCCAATAATCCCCCCAAAAGCGACGGCGGTCGGCCGCCAATCGAGAACCGCGGGAAAGGGAGATCGAACAGATTTCCTTCGTACAATAATCCCAGGACCCCGTAATCGTTGCCGTATCTGGGCCCAAGCCGAACACTGTATAACTCGTTATATGGAAGCGGGCGGTGGCAGTTAGGTGCTGGTCACGGACCCATTCGATTGGATATGGCTGAGCGAAGGAACGCAGAACCCAAACCCGGCAGCTATCTCTGCTCCTAATCGAGAGTATTATGCACCTTCAAAAAGATAGGACGAGGATTCTCATCGTCCGGAGTCCGTACTTCCGTGCTGGGTTCGCATCAGAGGGCGTCAAGGCGGAAACGCCACGGCTCCAACATCCGCCACAGCTTTGATCGAGCGGACGAGAGATGTTCCTCGTCGGGATGTTATCTTGAAGTGAGTGACGCAAGAGTGACGAGTCGCAGTGGCAAAAGAGTGGCAAGTCCACGACAAATCCCCGCCCCGGATTGCAAGAGTGGCGAACTATCATTGCAGGGTTGCTCTGCATGTCGATCAGCTTACCGAAGCGGAAAGTAGGTTCAGGTTCGATGGGTGCGGTTTGTGGGAGGAAAATGATGGTATCAATCCTCAGCTCGGCATAGACCGTCAGAGTCACACAGTCAGACTGCCGCGCGCGCGCGCAGACCAGCGTAAGTTCAGACTGAAGTTAGAAACCCTGCTCGAATCACTGGAAGAAGGCGGTGTAGCTCACTGGCTCTGGTGTTTGTTCGGCGGTTCCTTGTCACATCTAACCATTTGCGGTGCCACAAGCTCGGCAAGCCATACCTCCCTGACCAAAGTATCAAATTTTAACAAGCAATGTTTCTCAATGCATGGCCCACACATATGGATCGAGGCCAACCCTGATGGAGAACCAAGGTGTGCTCGATCCTGCGTGTGTATCATCTGTTATGCATCATCAGCTACAAGTGAGCGACTCGTGCCGGGGCGCGGCGTGGGAAGGCGCAACGCGCGGCGAACCGAACTTAAAAGGAGGAAGAAGAAAAAAGAAGGAAGAAGAACAGGCAGAGGAACGTGCGGGCGCGCTGGAGGCACAGCGGCGCCGCGAATTAATGAATCAAGAAGCGCAAAAAGAAAAGGAAAGAAAAAGGAAAACCGCGCCGACAGAACTGATAGGGTAGACTCAGCGGATGGCGTGCGGGAAGGGGGGAGAAGGGGGGAGAGCGATACGGGACGGGGAGGGTATACGTGAAGGGGAGAGTAACGCGATAGAAGAGCTAGAGAAACGAAAATGAAAACGCACCCTACGTGCCTCCTTAACCATCCCCGTACCCAGGCCCGGCGTGGACGTCGGCGTAGGGGGCAAGTCCGGCGGGAACGGCGGGAATTGCGTCGGCGGCATCCGCGTCTGCGGCATCGGCGCCATCGATATCGGCGTGGGCCTCGGCGGTTGTGCCTGCAAGGACATGGCCGTCGTCGGCGTGGAGGAGATGGCCCCGGCCATCAGCGTCGCCGCCGCTGCGTGTGCGTGTGCATGTGCCTGTGAAGTGGCGGTCGTTGGCGGAAGCAGTGGGGTAGAAGGCGTCTTGGGGCGCGACGGGAGGGGCGTCCCCCAGTACTACAGCGTGTGAGGATGGGTGTACGCACCGAGCCGCAGTGGGTTGAAATTGGGGCGGGGTTGGCGGGCGTGGATGCAGACACGGATGGGGACTCAGGCGCGCAGTGGGTTGAAATTGGGGCGGGGTTGGCGGGCGTGGATGCAGACACGGATGGGGACTCAGGCGCGTGAGGGCAAGGCGTGCTGGCGGACCTGGATATGGGCGCAGCCGTCGAATCGAGCTTGATGCGCTACACCCCCGCCACTATCAGCCCCTCCGCCTCTTCTCCTTGCGCTCGCGATTGCGATCGCAGCGGGGCGGTGAGAACGACGGAGCTCCGACTAGGTTTGGGTCCGGGAGCGTGCTGGGACACACCTCACGGCTGCGGCTCGATCACGAGTCCTCGTGCGCACCGCTCTCCAAATCGAGCTTGCGCTACAAAATCCCCCCATTACTCACGCCAGACAAACGGAGGGAGAAGGAAGGGCGGAGGAAACGTACCTTGTGCGATTAACCACCCACCAGCCCTTCGCCCGGTCGTACTTGGCTCGCAGCGCCGCCAACTGCGCCTCCGCCTCCTTAAGCTGCGCCTGCGCGTCTTCGAGCTGCACCTCCACCTTGACAGTCTCGTCACACGCACGCTCCGTATCCTCGTGCACGTGTTGCAGCTGAACCGCGAGCCGCGCGACCTGCGCGTGTCGTCCTCGCTGGTTGAGTGTGATGGGGGAGGTCCGGCGTCGTTTTCCATTGTGCCCCTATCGTTATCTGCGCGGAGGGCTGGGTGGGGCGGAGGCACCAGGAAGGAAGAGAAGACGCCGAGATTGGAAATTCAGGTAGCGTAGACTAACCGCATTTGGACGTGATCGAGCGAGAGGGATCCCACGGTCACGGGCGTCTCTGTTGAATGTTGAAGGGTCACGGTACTGGTGCTAGAGCCTTGGCGAATCGTCGCCATCGTGCGAGTAATGTGGGTTGACCGCGGGTTAACGCCCATCAATTCATGCCATGCTTGACTAACATCGATCGACTTTGGTCACCGCTCAACTGCTTGCAACGGGAAGACACTCAATTCAGGGCAGTGGTGCACATCCGCTTCTCTCCTCTAGTTCTACTCTCAAGATCCCCGGGATTTGAAGTACTCTTCGGGATAAAATGCTATAAACCCCCAGATTCCATGCGGACGCGGGAGTCGAGCCCCGTGTGGTTTACACGCTGACTCGTCAGTACCTAGTGGAGGCAGCAGTGCGCCGTGCACCACGTCCGCTTCACTCCTTTATTACTCATCTCAACATAGCTAGCCTGTTGCAAGCCTTCGAGCAAAAAAAAGTTCCTGCAAACTAACCAGCCAGGCGGACGCGGGGAATCGAACCCCGTGTGGCTGCTTACACGCTTACTCTTCAGCACCTAGTGAAGGCAGCGGTGCACCGTGCACCACGTCCGCTTTATTCCTCCATTTCCCGCCTCTATATATCCGCACGATTAGAAGCCGTCGAGTAGAAAAAAGCTTGGTCCAAACACTACACGGACGCGGGAGTCGAACCCCGTTCAACTGCTTGCCATACCAACGGCTTATTTCAGTCATGAATGCAGTGGTGCACCGTGCACCACGTCCGCTCCTCTGATCCGTCACTTACTTCAATACATCCTGGTGGTTGGCAGCCCTTAGCAAAAAGATTGGGTGCTCAACTCCAAGAATGTGGACGCGGGGAGTCGAACCTCGTCTGGGTGCGTCGAAGACAATATATCCCTACGAAGTTGAGGCAGCGGTGCACCGTGCACCACGTCCACTTTTTTCCTCTACTCTTGACCTCAATATGTACAGGCTTTTGGAAGCCTTCAAGCAAACAAATTGAAGAAAACGGTGAGGCGGAAGCGGGGAGCCGAACCCCGTTCAACTGCCTGCAATATCATCTGTCAGCCCTAACGAAACGCAGTCGTGTACCGTACACAACGCCGGCTTCCTACCTTTAATTCCTGCCCTCCCTAATACCAGGTTAAAGCCACTCATCGGAATAAAAAATGGTTGACCGAGCCAGGTGATGCGGCCGCGGGGAGTCGAACCCCTTCTTAACTGCTTGCAATCACTTCCCTAGCCGGACAGAACGGAGAGGGGCACCGGGCACCACTTCCGCATCTCTCTATTCCTGTACCAGCTTGAAACCACTCTTCTGAATTAAAAGGTGTCATGTCAAATGCCACACGGACGCGGGGAGTTGAACCCCGTCCAAATGCTTCCATTTATGTTTCTTTCCCCGCCCGAACAGGATGCAGTGGTGCGCCGTGCACCACGTCCGTGTCTCCTGTATCACTCACCTCAATATCTCTAGCCCGTTGCAAGCTTGGGAGCGAAAACAATCGGTGAGACACCGGAAAAGCAGACGCGGGGAGTCGAACCCTATCCAACTGCTCGGAGTCGTAGATATCAGACTCCGCCACAGGATTCAGCAGTGCACCGTGCACCACATCCGCTTCTTGCCTCCATTAATCACCTCCCTCCATACATCCAGCCTTTTCAGCATTTTTCCCAGTCTAATGGAAAAAAAAGGCTAGCTCCCGATTGCGGACGCGGGGAATTGAACCCCGTCCAACCGCTTTTAACTATCAAAAGCCTTCAAGTTGGTGCAGTGGTGCGCCATGCACTACGTCCGCTTCTTGCCTCTATTCTTCAGCTCAATATATCCGGACATTTAGAAGCCTTCGAGTAAAAATGTCCGGAGGAAACCGGTGAGGCGGACGCAGGGAGTCGAACTCCGTGTGGCTGCTTACAGTCTGATCTAGACGAACAAGAAAGTTGAAGCAACAGTACACCGTGCACCACGTCCACTTCCTCCCTCCATTCCTAGCCTTATAACTTCAGCTTGTTCAGTGCTCTTCACAATAAAAACTGTTTCGCCAAATGTTATGCGGACGCCGGGAGTCGAGCCCCATCTAACTGCTTGCATTCGGATTCTTCCCCAAACAGAATAAAGTCGTGCGCCGCACACCACGCCCGCGTTTCTCTTCTCCATCCCAGACTCAATTATTTCAGGCACATCTTTTCAAAAAATCCACGGCCAAAAGCAAAGGCGGACGCGGGGAGTCGAACCCCGTCTAACTGGTTGCAAATACGAAGTCTCCATGCTTACAGAGTGCAGTCGTGCACCGTACACCACGTTCGCTTCTCTGGTCTGTTCCTCATCTCGATACATTCAGCCTTTGCAGCATTTCTCTCGGCGTAATGAAGGGGGGAAAAATAGGCCAGCCCTCGATAGATGCGAACGCGGGGAGTCGAACCCCGTTGAACTGCTTGCAGTTTCTTTCTTCTCCCTATTCCAGAATGCAGTTGTCCATCGTGTACCACATCCGCTTGATTCCTGTAGTCCTAACCCACTCTCATGCAAGTCTTCCACGCACTTCCATAAAAAAAGTTGTGAACAGACGCGGGGAGTCGAACCCTGTTCAACTGCTTAAAAATGTCCCACTTGAACCCCGGCTCACCCCTTTTAATTCCATTCTAAATGATGACAGAATGCAGTGGTGCGCCGTGCACCACGTCCACTTTATTCCTCCATTTCCCACCTCTGTATATCCGGGTGGTAGAAGCCCTCGAGTAGAAAAAAGCTTGGACCAAGCATCATACGGACGCTGGGAGTCGAACCCCGTTCAACTGCCTGAAATACTCCGTTCCCCGCCAATTAATGTTGTGGTGTGCGCCGTGCACTACGTCCGCTTACTATTAAGCCCAATGGGTCTGGATTTGCACAATGGGTCTGGATTTTCGATTTTTCTCTCTCATTTCTTGTTGCAGCAGTTAGATATACTAGTATGCTATAACTATATGAAATGTCTAAGGGATACGGCAAGAGGAAGGTATTGAGAATGAGTGGCCGAGCCATCAAATTTTGTGATGTTGAGAAAGGCATTGGTCTCCTGGCCTCGCAGCTCACCTCAGACCTCCGGAAAATTTTGAGGGGCAATTTATATCACATAGAAGTCATTATGCCTCTTCAAATTATTTCTCCGGGACGTTGTTCTGGTGCTTTGGAGGCGAGGGTTCAGTTGTGACACAATGTCACAATTGATTTGGCTGATTGATTTGTCACGCACTCGCCGCCCTCCTTTCCAAAGCACCGCAATAGCACCCCGGAAAAATAATCTGAAGAGACAGAAAGTTTAATATATGATATAAAGTTCCCCCCAGAATTTTCCGGAGGTCTGAGGTGAGCTGCGAGGCCAGGAGACCAATGCCTTTCTCAACATCACAAAATTTGATGGCTCGGCCACTCATTCTCAATACCTTCCTCTTGCCGTATCCTTTAGACATTTCATGCAGTTATAGCATACTAGTATATCTAACTTCTGCAAAAAACTCCGGGGGGAAAGAGCAAGAAATGAGAGAGAAAAATCGAAAATCCAGACCCATTGTGCAAATCCAGACCCATTGGGCTTATTAGTATCCGTTCTATTCCCCGCCTTGATCATTGCACGCTTTGCGCCATGCGGAAAAAAATGGCTGCCGAAGTATCAAGCGGACGCGGGGAGTCGAATCCCGTTCTACTGCTGTGAACTAATACCTGTCAAGTTGATGGAGTGATGTGCCGTGTACCAGGTCCGCTTCCGCTTCCGCCCTCCATTCCTCCCCTCTATACCCGGAGGCCCTTTGACACTCCTCGGAGCCAACAAAAGAGACAGACCAATTAGAGAGGCGGATGTGGCGAGTCGAACCCAACCCCGCTCGGCGGATGGGAGCCTTCCAGAAAAATTTCTAGCAAACCTGGAGGCGGACGCAGGGAGTCGAACCCATTCAACTGCTTGCAACCACAGCCAATGCCCATTATTAAATGCAGCAATGTACCGTACACCACGTCCGCTTAGTCCCTCCGGTCAGCTTCTCCATATATCCATGCAGCTGGAAGCCTTCCAAAAAAAGTTCCTCCAGGCATACCACCAACTAGGCGGACACGGGGAGTCAAGCCCCGTTGAACTACTGGCAATTTAGTCCTCGCTAAAATACAGAATGCAGTGGTGCACCGTGCACCGGCGGATCCGACTAGGTTCGTCCCTGAGCCAGTGTGGTTGTATAATATGAGGCGTGTAACCTATCGCTTGACATGAAATGTGCTGCAGGTGAGCATGAAATTAGTAAGTCGCTCTGTATCTCCAAAGATGCAAAGAAATTTACTGGTGCCTGAATACGACAGTCGGTGCTGGATACCCGGTTGTGCCGCTAAGTGCAAAGGTGCGGCTGACTGGAACTGCAAGAGCAGATTATATAAATCTGAATATGTACTACTACTACGGGTACTCGCTGGCATGGTTGGTCCTAGAAAGACTCCTGAACATGATTAGGTTGAAAGTTTATACCGACACTGCTGTATAACAGCGATCTGTGTCTCCCAGAATGCAATTGCTTGCAGCGGAGGGTCTGGAAATTTCTGTGTGGAAACACAAAGGGACGTCAGTGCCACTGAATGAAGTGTTGGCCACATATGCAGATATTCACCCGAAGCCAGTCAAGTATATAGTGGAGGCCTGGTAGCGGAGAGATTCCATGGGCATGGAATTCCCAGTGTTTCGCGGGATTTATATGCTTTGGATCACAAACTTGGGCCAGGTCGAGGCTCTCCAGCGCATGAAATATCCTTGGACCTGGCCCACAGCTCTCAAGGAGTTCTAACCAGCTACTGCGACACTGTCAGATTAAATCCTGGGCAAATGGATGCCGCTTACGTCCATAGCCACGGATATCCCTCCATAATACAGGTCTTGACATGTTGAATCCAAAGAAGTACGAGGGCCTCTGCAATTTCCTCGGGATCTGAATACAACTCGCCAGCTCGGCTAGGATCATTTAAAAAATCGAGGGGTGAGTCCCCGTCTGGGAAAGGAAATTCCAAGAGTCCGCGGATTCGAAGAAATGGCTGAAAGATTCGATAATTGCATTGTGGACCTAGGAACTCCACAACCTCGTCCTCAGTGTCGGGTGCAACAATTTGTGTTTTGAGAACAAAAAGCAGGTCTGGGCATTGGGAGAGGATCCCACGATAGATTGCATCGAACTTGCATGTGGGGAAGGTTTGACTGGCACTAAGTTCGAGAGATACGACAAGACTTGAAATAAAATCATGATCTTCCCACAGTTGGATCAGATCCAGTGGGTATCCCGAATCTATCTGAAAATCTCTCTGTTAGCCTGATGTCACCAGGGGCATGTGTTACATTCCTTAGGCCAGAACCCCGGGAGGTGCAGACTGAGAAAAAGAGAGTCTTGGAATTGATCGTTGCGCAGGAGAGCAACCAACATGTCAGTGGGGGCAATACCATTGAGGATTGTGGGCAGTCCGTAAATGAGAGCACTGCAAAAAGCATGAGGTTAACACGGTCTGCAGAACACGTGTCTCTTGCCTGTGGAACCTCCTCCTCCGTAATGTAACCCGCAGTGAAGATAGCAATCGGATCAAG